TCAGAGCGCCATCCGAACAACAATCCGTGTGCGTCCAGCTAACAGAACTGCCGCACACCGCATCGGGTTTGTGAAGTTGTCGTGTTCAGTTTTGTGTCATGTTTTTGTGTATTTATGGAGAATTGTCGCGTAGGAGCAGGGGGGCGGAGCCTCGTACAGGCTGTGGGAGCGTGGGCGATGTAGGCTTGTGGGCGGAGCTTTGGACAGAATCTTGCAGCTAAACCGTAAGGAGGGTTCGAATAGGGTTAGAGAGATCGCTAAATGACTGAAACATGCGTAAATAACGTCTAAAACTTTTTTTGAGGAGGGTTGAAAGCTAAAAAAAATATAACTATATATATACATATATATATAAAGGAATAAAAACCAGAGCAGCATCTGACCTGGTCCCAGTTGGTGTCAGTTGGTCCAGGACATGGTGATGAGGGCGCGGTTGCGGTGTTTTTTGAGGGAGCGGCGGCGGCGGCGTAGTCCTCCCCCACACACCTGTCACACAGAGAGACAGTGATAGAAACTGTGCAAAAATACTTCTTTTTAAGAACCAGGACTGAACCCGGACTGAACCAAGACTAAACTAGGACTAAACCAGGACTAAACCAGGACTGGAACAGGACTGAACCAGGACTAATAATAATAATAATAATGAATAATAAACCAGGTCTAAACTGGTCTCAGTCCTGGTCCTGGTCCTGGTCTCAGTTCTGATCACCCAACAGTCTATGCAGGCACACCTCCTGGTTCAGTCCTGGTTCAGTCCTGGACAAATGGTTTTGTAAAACTGTGATTATTACAGATTATTATAAATGCTGAAGTTGAAACGGTGCAGACAGAGGGTTAGTTGAGTGGAGGTGTTGGAGACTCACCGGGGCACAGCCGTCGCTGGTCACGCACAGAGACACCTCACAGTGCAGGTAGACGTCAGAGGACAAGCCGGTGAACTCGAACATCTTAAAGGTGAAGCTGTTGGAGGTTCCCACGCCGTTCCCGGTGACTTTCACAGAGGCGTCCGCGGGGTTGGCACAGCTGCACACCAGAGTACAATAAGAACAAGAATAAAAAAGAAAACCGAGAAAAACCATGTGTGGAAAATCCAGTTTCTGTTCAAATACACAAAAGTTTGGACCCACCTCCTTTCTACTTCTCCCAAATGATACTGGTATCAGATATCTGCACTCATATGATACTGGTATCAGATATCTGCACTCATATGATACTGGTATCAGATATCTGCACTCATATGATACTGGTATCTATCTGCACTCATATGATACTGTATCATATCTGCACTCATATGATACTGGTATCAGATATCTGCACTCATATGATACTGGTATCGGATATCTGCACTCATATGATACTGGTATCGGATATCTGCACTCATATGATACTGGTATCGGATATCTGCACTCATATGATACTGGTATCGGATATCTGCACTCATATGATACTGGTATCAGATATCTGCACTCATATGATACTGGTATCGGATATCTGCACTCATATGATACTGGTATCGGATATCTGCACTCATATGATACTGGTATCAGATATCTGCACTCATATGATACTGGTATCGGATATCTGCACTCATATGATACTGGTATCGGATATCTGCACTCATATGATACTGGTATCGGATATCTGCACTCATATGATACTGGTATCAGATATCTGCACTCATATGATACTGGTATCAGATATCTGCACTCATATGATACTGGTATCGGATATCTGCACTCATATGATACTGGTATCCGATATCTGCACTCATATGATACTGGTATCGGAGATATCTACACTCATATGATACTGGTATCAGATATCTGCACTCATATGATACTGGTATCAGATATCTGCACTCATATGATACTGGTATCAGATATCTGCACTCATATGATACTGGTATCGGATATCTGCACTCATATGATACTGGTATCAGATATCTGCACTCATATGATACTGGTATCGGATATCTGCACTCATATGATACTGGTATCAGATATCTGCACTCATATGATACTGGTATCGGATATCTGCACTCATATGATACTGGTATCGGATATCTGCACTCATATGATACTGGTATCGGATATCTGCACTCATATGATACTGGTATCGGATATCTGCACTCATATGATACTGGTATCAGATATCTGCACTCATATGATACTGGTATCAGATATCTGCACTCATATGATACTGGTATCATATCTGCACTCATATGATACTGGTATCAATATCTGCACTCATATGTATCGGATATCTGCACTCATATGATACTGGTATCAGATATCTGCACTCATATGATACTGGTATCAGATATCTGCACTCATATGATACTGGTATCGGATATCTGCACTCATATGATACTGGTATCAGATATCTGCACTCATATGATCCATTTTGGTTTATGAACTATTTTCTAGTCCCTGTTGTTTTCAAACGTGTCGTAATATTAAACTTAGATTATCAAAGCTGTTTTGTTGTTACTTTAAATAACAGTTACAGTTGTGTTTATAGGGAATAAATGATATTTAGTCTGAGCTCCAGTATCGGCAGATAAACCAAAGTATCGACATCGGAATACAAAAAACATCAAATATAAGAAGCACGTTCTATGGAATTGTGTAGCGCAGAAACAAAGTGAAGGAAAGTGACTTTCAAACCCTTGGCCTTCTCTCAATGAGCAATGATTTCCACTAAACTTCTTAAAAAGTGACTAAAACAGCTGCAAAACAAACAAATGCTTCTCTCTCCTCATCTTTCTTGGCTCTTTTCCCACAGATGCTAAAAGCCGCTGTGGACGCTTCTATGTTTGTTTGTTTTTTGCACTATTTTGTGTGTTTTGGTTCATTCTCTAACTGACTGCTGCGCCCTCTGCTGCTTGGTGAGATTGCAGCCTTGGCATTAGAAAAGTTTGTAAGTATAAATGCAGTGACGGTTACTCCGCTTGGCACGCACGGATCTGTTTACCCATGAAAGCAAAGCATAAATGAGCCTTAAAACTAATGAAGGACTGAGCCGGTTTCTCACCCGTTTTGGATCAGCTTGTACTGGGGCGTGGAGTTGGACGGCTGTTGACTGGTGCCCCAGCAGGAGTCCGTAACTATGGAGACCAGGTCTTGGTCCAGCTCCTCGGCGCTCAGCTCCACCCAGATGGGCTGATCCAGCTGCAGCTCCGTGGTCGGGACGATGGGATCGATCAGGTCTGAGTCCAGGTAGGCCTTCATGGTCAGGTTATAAGACCAGAGTCCAGACACAATGGTCTGCACCACAGAGCTGCACAAACATGTCCAAACAAAAAAAGGGAGATGATGTCAGAGAATGTGAGGTCTAAACCAGGACTAAGACCAGGACTAAACCAGGTCTACATGAGAACTGAACCAGGACTATGAGCAGACCTGTCCTTGATCTTGAGGGCCATAGTCTTGATCTCAGGCTGGTCGTAGTAGCAGGAGAAGTCCAGCTCAAACTGGTTGTGGCGAGTGATAATGCTGGAGGTGTGGTTCTTGAGCACCACTTTATTCTTGAAGATCAGCTGGTTGTTCTCACTCTGCCGCACACATGGACCAGAAGAAAACTTGATTATTGCTGGATAATTAGTGTACGGACTGATTGTTCCGTAGGTGAAAGCTGGAACATTATATTTTAAGGCTCAATAGTCTCTGTGCGACCTCATGGTGAGCGTCACTACTTCCTGTTCCATTTGATCTCTATGTGGAGTTACACTAAAATGAATAAATATTTAAAGATCGGGCAGTGAACAGGGAGCTGCAGGTAAATGTCACTGACATGGTGTTAAAAAGTAAACTAATCCAAGAAATACTTCAGCAGAGGACACTTCTGTGTTTACAAAGAGACATCCATCTATTACTGCAAGGAAAGTGTGTGTGTGTGTGTGTCTGTTCCACACACAACTGTCCAACCGCTCGTCCACCTGAGCTCAAATTCAGAGGGTGTCATCCTAATGGGACGGCCGTGTGCACTGTCAAGTTTTATGTTGTTAGGGCAAAACATGTCAAAGATAGAACACTTTGTGACATGCACTTTGAAGTCTTTGAGGTCACGTGGGTCACACGGGTCACACGGGTCACACGGGTCACACGGGTCACGGGTGTGACTCATGTGATCAACTTGTTATTAATTTTTTAAGTACATTTCTAATGTCTAGAAAGAGAGATGTTTGTGTCTCTGCACCAACACTAATGTTCATTGTGAGGCCAATGAAGTTGCCAATCTCTGTTGAACAGAAGGTAAAACGTAGATGTTCAGTTGAAAACCACCACTAGATGACATCACAAGTTGGAACAGAGCACTTGGAGCTTTGGAGATGTAGACAGAGTAATAATAAAGATTACTCAAACATGTGTGAAACAAAACAGAATTCACATGACTTAACGCTCACAAGAATGAATTGTGTGTAATGTCGGACCTTTAATACAACACATGTCAAAAGATGTTTTCTCCCAAAGTCTAAACTCCAAAACATGTTTGTTTGATTTTTTTTCTGAAAGAGGCTGCACACCTCTCCATCAAAAAGAGCATAGTTGATCACTGACTGTTGAAAATCATATCAAATCATATATTTGTGCACATACCGTCACATTGGTCCCACACATGTTGTCTGCATCAAACCCAAAGTTCAGCATGTGGCTGGTCGCGTCCAACACGCCGGTGCAGTTGGGATTAACCAGTTGTAACTCGTCATAATGGACTCCTTGGGCAGTCAGTAGACACGCAGCGAGGGAGAGGGACGCGGAGTTTTGGCTGCACACGGTGGGATCGCCTGGAACAAAAACAAATCCTCCATTCACCACTGACACCGCAGAGAAGACTGAAGTCAAGCAGGATTCACGGGCAGCGACGTGTTTAGAAGAGTCGCTCAGAGCCTGGTACCGACACAAACGCTCTGTTCCAGACATTTAACGCACACATGCAAAATATATTGACTTTATATACCTGGAGTAGCTTTATTCACACTTATATCATGAATCCTGTTTAATAAGTCCCTCCACCCTCTTCTAAGCACTAAAAAATACACAACATTTTCAGGATTGTTACATTAGAGATTAAAGTCCAGAAGGCTCCAGCACTAAATGAAAATCTGAGCATTTCTGCCATCAAATCGTGTTCGTCACAGCTGCACACGTGTGTTAGCGAGTTAGAAAAGGTCGTCATTGTGTAATTTTTCTAAAGTTATTCCCTCTGCTGGTCGTGTTTTGTACAGAGCTCAGTCAGTATGAATAGAGAGAAAAAAAACATATCGCAGTAACTTTTGAACATAGTGCCGTTATACAACGGCAGTGATGTGATTGTTGTCAGCTGAGAGGAACTTAAGATAAAGTACGTCATCCCCAACATAGAATCATAACATCTAACATTTGTGGATCATCTGTTTTTTTAAATAAAATCCCAAGTGTGAGCTCATACCAAGAGTCCCGTTATATTTGGCAGCAAACAGAGCGCGACAGATGCAAGTTTCTTCATACATGTGAGCACCACAGAACTCATGGTCACTGCAGTAAGTGTCCTTACAGAAATCCACCGGGAACTCTGCAACAACGAGAAGAACAAGTGTGTCAGAAGAACGAGAAGAACAAGTGTGTCAGAAGAACGAGAAGAACAAGTGTGTCAGAAGAACGAGAAGAACAAGTGTGTCAGAAGAACGAGAAGAACAAGTGTGTCAGAAGAACGAGAAGAACAAGTGTGTCAGAAGAACGAGAAGAACAAGTGTGTCAGAAGAACGAGAAGAACAAGTGTGTCAGAAGAACGAGAAGAACAAGTGTGTCAGAAGAACGAGAAGAACAAGTGTGTCAGAAGAACGAGAAGAACAAGTGTGTCAGAAGAACGAGAAGAACAAGTGTGTCAGAAGAACGAGAAGAACAAGTGTCAGAAGAACGAGAGAACAAGTGTCAGAAGAACGAGAGAACAAGTGTGTCAGAAGAACGAGAAGAACAAGTGTGTCAGAAGAACGAGAAGAACAAGTGTGTCAGAAGAACGAGAAGAACAAGTGTGTCAGAAGAACGAGAAGAACACTCCGGCAGAAAGGAGCAGGCTGGAGCAGAGTCAGAGAAACAGAGAGGAGGAGAAGGAGGTAAATAAAGTTCTTTAGGCTTTTGACTGAAGTGTCGTCCTCACTGCAGTTTGCTGAGGTTTTCCACTCGGGCAGTGTGACGTTGAACATGGAGCAGACGGCGGCGTAGGCGTCGTGGAAGGCGCAGTCGAAGCCGTCCTTAGAGGGGTATTTGCACAGAAACTCCTCACAGGTCTCCATGAACAGAGACGGGTCAATCGTGGAGTGGCAGTCGGAGAAGAGGCTGCTGTTCAGGAGCTCACATCTGTGGGTAAATCACACGTGATGTGATCGTCCAGTCACCAGACACTTGGACTTTGATTTAGATTCACTTAAAGCTCCTGGATCACACTAAACTGACTCTGGTGAGCTTGTTTCATGAGTGTTCAGTGAGTGTTTCATTCACACATGTTTGAGTAGCCCCTGATTATGAATCTGTCCACATCTCCAAAGCTCAAAATGCTCTGCTCCACCTTGTGATGTCATGAAGTGGCAGTTTTCAAGTGAACAGATATTTTTAGCACAGCTCAGTACAGACAATTCCACATCTGAAATGATCCAGTTGATTCTAGTGAAGGTGTGTGGAGTTTCAAAACACAGTGGAGCACTTCCTGTATCACCACATGATGACATCACAAGGTGGAATCTTGTGGACTGTTGTCTGAGGGAAGAACTCAGCCTAAATCTGCAAGTTTGTGTGTTTAAACGTGTGAAAACACAAAACAGAACTCTGGGTGTGTTTGTGATGAGGAAATAACATTCTAACATCGACGAGAGAATCGAGTCAGATGGAACTTTAACTGATCCACAAGGGAAATGACTTAAACAGAACAACCGAGTTAAAGCAGAATAACAGAACCAAAGTAAAGTAAGACAGGAGCACAAACTCTGACTTAGATAAACATGAGGAGCACAAACTCTGACTTAGATAAACATGAGGAGCACAAACTCTGACTTAGTTTAACATGAGGAGCACAAACTCTGACTTAGATAAACATGAGGAGCACAAACTCTGACTTAGATAAACATGAGGAGCACAAACTCTGACTTAGTTTAACATGAGGAGCACAAACTCTGACTTAGTTTAACATGAGGAGCACAAACTCTGACTTAGATAAACATGAGGAGCACAAACTCTGACTTAGATAAACATGAGGAGCACAAACTCTGACTTAGTTTAACATGAGGAGCACAAACTCTGACTTAGATAAACATGAGGAGCACAAACTCTGACTTAGATAAACTTGAGGAGCACAAACTCTGACTTAGATAAACTTGAGGAGCACAAACTCTGACTTAGTTTAACATGAGGAGCACAAACTCTGACTTAGATAAACATGAGGAGCACAAACTCTGACTTAGATAAACATGAGGAGCACAAACTCTGACTTAGATTAAACTTGCGTACATGTGACAGGATCCATAGCAAATAAAAAAATGTCATGTCTGTGTTCTCTTAACCAACCAGCAGAGGGCACTAAAAGTCAGTTTGAGAATGATCAAAACAGAAGAAAAAGACAAACAAACAACAAATAAACACACATGGAGTTTTGAGATCACATTTGTTGTAAAAGAGCGTGTTTAGCTTCCGCTGTCGAGCTCATGTTTGCAGTAAAACCACCTGTAACTGAATAAATGTGAGGTAGAGCTGTTTAATGTCACACTGTGGAACATTCCAGGCAGAGCAATGACTTTAACCGTGACTTATAGAGGACCGTGTGTGTGTGTGTGTGTGTGTGTGTGTGTGTGTGTGTGTGTGTGTGTGTGTGTGTGTGTGTGTGTGTGGTGGAGTGGGGACTCACTGTTGTTTGGCGATGGAACAGTTAACGGAGACGTCGGGCGGCTCTTGTTGCACCGTGTCACATCTACAGCAAACACACGTTCATCAGACAGAACTTTACTCCTTCATATTTCTGTGTCAGGACAATGAACTGTTTGATCATTCTAATAAAATCAATAAAGAAAACTGTGTCTTATTGCCAAAGTGGGAGGAGAATTATTCTATTTTTAGCATAATCTTAAATAGACCTCATTTCTCTCATCTGACCAAGATTTTCAAACTTATATCAGGTTCTTCATCTTGTTTTCAGATTTATGATCTACTCACTGGTTCTGAGAAGCTTCAGTCTAGTCTAGAGGTCGTTTATTTTAAGGGAACTTGTCAAGTAAAATGATCTGTCCGTGCAGCGAGATCATTTCAAACTTATAAGTCATTTTCTGAGAGATTCGAGTGTTTCTATCTTAATGGTTTTTGCAGTGTAGTAGTCCGACCCGTCATAAGCGCTTTAAAACAAGAGGTTTTATTAGTGATGGGCACATGAGTCGGAGCTCCGGAGCACGTCTCGTTCTTTCTTTCTTTCGCAGCAGCCGCTCATGTGGAAGTGTGGGTCCCTCCCCCGACTGCTTGGCTCTGCGTGTCAGTCGCTTCAGCGCATCAAAGCGTTTCATTGGCTCGGCGAATGTTCCGCTCTGCGATTGGTTCAGAGTGTTCGGCGCACTTCTGTGGTTTGACGAGCGCTAAACTGCTACAGTATAAAAGATGCACCAATATTTCTTAAAACTGTTGGGTAGTGAGGAGTATCGTGTGACGTTAGTGGTGATTTTTGGCAACTTTTGGCGTTTGTTTCATTTTCGACGGCATCTACAAGTGGAAAAAAGTGATCCATGGTTTGGGATCACTTTGATCTAATTCCACCTAACAAGGTAACACCTACTTTCTTATTTACAACATGCTATTTATGTTGCTCTTTACATATTATTTTAAATCATCATTATTATTGTTGTTGTTGTTCGGTGCCGCTCTGCACACAACTATTGTCTTATTGTTAAATTTGTCCACTGGAAATGATGGTACTTTAGAAACTGCAGCACTGTCCCTTTGAATTTAGATTTTTGACTTTGTTGACTTTGTGAAGGAGGCGCCTTACCCAGCACTGCTCAGCGCAGCAGACACGGCGGCGCTCACGTTTGCGGCACTGATGCACAGACCAGTCAGTCCGGTCGGATCTGTGGACAGAAGAGTCAGTACATATAAATATAAATGTGGTGCTTCTGCAGTGTGACCAGCCCACTTACTCCACAAACCCCGCCCTCTCAGACCTAAGGACCAATCACAAGCTTTGACTCAGGCCTAAAGACCAATGACCAACTGTCAGTCATTTCATGGAGCTCAACGGTCCCGCCCACTTCCAAGTCTGCGCCGCTTCAAAACTTTTCCATTCATTTTTCCCACAGACTTTTCAAAACACTGAAGGAGGCTAAGTCCAGATAAGATCTGTATATCTGACCATCTTCTCCTGAGTGTGACATGTGGCTGTCAGATTTTAAAATCTGGAGGTTGTTTTTCTGGTCAAAGGACGTGTTTTAATTTACTTTACAACGAGCTGGGAGCAGGTTTTCTGAAATGAGCCAATCAGAGAAACACACGGTCTAGTTCAGTCAAAAGAAACATGGCGACTTTTGAGTCAAAAAAAAGAAAGAAAACATGACACCGAGGACTTCTGACACATTCACACAGCTGAGGGAGTGAGTCTGTGGACAGACGGGCACCTGTGATGTCGAGGACTGCAGAGGAGCCGTCAAAGACCAGCTCAAACATCTGCTGGTACTGAAGAGAGATTCCGCTGGAGGTTTTGGACACGTTGACTCCCTGCGGCATCAGAGCGGTGCTGATGTTTACCAGAGAGCCATTCACCTGCAGCAAAAACAAGCGCAAAATGTGTCAAAGTCAGGCTTCCGGTTGCACCTCAATAGACCTGTTTCTGATCCAGCCTCGTGAAGGAGACTCGGCGGCATCTTCACCTGCACTTGCGCGGCTCCGGGCCCCAGGTGGATCTTTGTGGACCCCACGCTGAGCTCCAGATGGTCCAGCAGAGGAACGTCTGTGTGGCGGCGCTCTTTGAACACCGCCCCCAGCTGCACCGGGCC